GGCTAAATCGCATTCGAGTTCAACGAATTTCAACGCAAGGTTATTGTGGCGTTTCCTAAGGAAAGCAATTGAGTAATGCTAAGTTGGTGTAATGGCACGATCCCTACTATATTTCAAAATACTCTTTTTCAGATACGTTGCGTTGTCGCCTCCTCCAGATCGAATAGCTCGCCTTCCGGAAGCTTTACAGTTGCCTCTGAAATTTTTGTGGACTTTCCTCATGCTTTCATGGGCACTCTTGTTTAGGTCGGTGGTCATACTGTATGCCCTTGCTCCAAACTTCTCAAATCGTAAATAATCGCTTTTCCAGAATAGGATGGGATGTAAAGTTGATATTCATGCAGAATCCTCCAGCTCTGCCAACGATGTTTGTTTGTTGGATGGTTAGTTTTCCAGCCGGTGATGTTTGTTTTGACTCAGGTTCAGGACCATCCTTTTCATTTAAGGTGTCACGTTTGAAGAGCGCTAAATTCGTAATCGACTGGCACAATTATATGTGGTCGGTTTTGAAGGATAAAAGCGGTGTGTTATAAGGTTTTTGTGAAATTCTGCACTAGTCTTCTTTGACAGACTTCAGGATCAGCCCTAGAAATATTACGAAGAATGCAACCTTCTTCCGAGTTTCGTAAAAAAAAACTTTTTTGTTCTAGTAAGTGGGAGGGCGGAGGGGAAGCGGGAGGTGGGAAGGGCATTCTGTGAGACAATTCGATCCTACCTTTCGCAGGGAGAGGGAGGCTCCAAGATGGGTATAAAAACGGAAGCGAAACAGTTCACACGCTCCGGGCACCCTCCCTAACAAAACTCGAATTACTACTGACGGGACGACTCTCCTTATCAGAACAGAGCCAATTTTCATTCTGAAGATTATGTTGTGAACCTTTCTGGGAGCTTCTGACCGCGGAATATTTCTGTAAGAATCAAAATGAGTGTAATTCAGATTCTTCTTGATAATTACATTTCAAAAAAGCTCGCATTTAAGCATCGATTTACCCATGTAGGTATTGATCAGTTGACGCTCCCTCGTTTGGTAGAAGACGGCTCTGAAGGCAAGGATTCCAATAAAGATAACACTGTTAAACGTAAAGTAACCAGAGAGGTGAGCGTAACCAGATATGTGTTAGTTTTTCCCACCTGTCCATAGCAAGTTTCATAGGAAAGGGACGCTGTGGTCGTAACATCAAGAAGGAAACGTCGAAGTAGCGGCAGTGAGAAGAAGGAACGGAAGACTTTCAAGAGGCGGTTAGTTGACTTTTGCTATTCACTTGTGTCTTCCGTTTCAAGCCTTTTGTTCATTTTGATGCTTCTGTGTTGGGATCTTCATAAAATGTCGACAGACTTTATGTAAATATTTTCACTCTTTTACAGATATATCGAATGGATATATCGTTGGGAAGGGGCATTCGGTCGTCGTGCAGATGCAGGTCTTTGCGTGACTCGTGCTATGCGAGAAGACCTACAACGAGCATGGGGTGTACATGCAGCCGTGCGACTGTACAGGGCAGCGTGTTCTTACGATCGGTGGCCTTAGCTGTGCATTCAGGTAAGTAGAGTTTACTTTTCATGGAGTTTGAGGGCATCTATAATAGTGACGAGTAAGTCGCAATGTAAGTTTTCATTGGGTAAAGACGAAGATCGCGATAAAATGATGTTCAAAGATAGAGGGTAGCGAAGAGGACAGAGGTGAATGTAATTGATCGACATGTGGCGCTTTGGCGGCAGAAGGGCGCTGTCAACGACATGATAAGAAGCCAAACGTGCCTCATCAGAGGGGACAGATCCAATGAGGCATGCTGTTATGTTCTAATTTACGGCGCGCTATGATGAAGCTGAGATCATGTTTAGGGTTCTTGAGAAAGCCATGTGCGTCGCAAGTCGAGCAATAATAATTTCCGTTTACAAGCTTGCTGGCCCTAGGGAATCGCTAAGGTTAACATCGAATCGCGGCTTTGTGAATTAGAGTTAGGAGGTTTTCTAGAAGCATCTTCGCCTATTTTTTTTATTTTTCAGGGAATTCTCTCTGAATGAAAAACATGAGTTATTGCTTCGACTTGGTTTGGGTAACAATGGACAAGTCTTTGGAGCAGTACCTGCAGAGGACGGTATAATTGTAATTGTTTATTGCACAGGTTAGCACCCATGCTAAATAACGAAAAGCATAAAAACGAAAAGCATAAAAACCCAGAGGTAACAAACAAGAGGAACAGTTCCTAGGCTATCTATAGTTAACTAGGAGCTACAAGAGTGAAAGAAAAGAAAGAAAAAAAACGGAGGACATATATACTATATGGAATATAGTGAGTATATATTTGAATTTGTTATCAGCTAGCATTCAAGTTTTCTTCGGCTATGCTATCATTTCCTCAAGCTTCTGTTGTGTTCTCATGGTTTTAAATTCCTAGTTTGATTGGTGATAAGCTCAATCTCAAGTTCAAAGTGTCCTATTTTCTTCAGCTACTCGCTTCTCCATTCGTGATCCGTCCACTCGTGAAGTACATTTTCGCGACGACCGTCCGTTGTTGGTTATATCTTCGACGTCATGGACTCCAGATGAGGATTTCCAGATACTGCTGGATGCCGCGAAGAAGTACAATGACGTGGCAGCGATCAGTAGAAGCTCGTGAGGGAATCTCCTTTTCAGATTGACAACTTTAAATTATTCGGAGATCACGGACCATTTTTTTGGCAGCAGCAACACGGACTTCTATAGATAGTGTTGATCATTACTGGACGCGGCATTGAAAGATTTTAAGGGGAAAGATCAGCGGAGAAAATGGAAGGACTCGAAGGTGATTTTCCGCGCACAGATTAATTGTACGTGTCTGTGCTCGCACTGTCCCATGAGGCAGCCAGTCGATTCTATCGTGAGTTGATGAGGTCGCGCCGCTAGCGGCAAATGCGCAGCATTTTGCGAGTGCGCGTTATCGTAACTTCCCATATTCATGAATTGTACTGTGATTGGGTAACTGGTAGGACCGAAGTGCTTACGATATCGAGTATGGACAACCCCCATCTTGAGATTTTCGGAAGACACTGGCTTCACAGAGCAAATAAGTCGTCTATCTTTAGGCCTAGAAAACTAGAACTGTAGAGATTATCGAGAGGTTTGATCCTGAATACCAAAAACTGCTGGCAGCAGTTTGGACTTGAAACTGCGGCCAGCGTTCATTGGTCAAGAAGAATGGGTACATTTCTTTGGTTTTAGGACCAAGCCTTATGATTTGAGGCAATGCCCCTCCCCACCCCTTCCATAGCGCCTGCCTCTATGGACACAGACGTATAGATAACTCTGCTCTGCATGTTGTCTGTATTCAGATCCACACTCCATGGTTAGAGTCTCAAGATTATCCTTTGATGATTGCAACTGCCGATCTTGGAGTATCGCTTCATACAAGCACTTCAGGTACTGTATAATTGTTGTTAGAAGTATTGTGAGTACGGCTTTCGCCGCGAAAGGCCGGTGTCAGGCTTTGCGATCTTGGATTCGCTGGTTAATCCACAGATTTGCAAAGTCTGACCCCCGCTTGACAGTTTGAGGGGTAGAGAGCCGCGCCTGCCAATCTGCGATTAAACTCGCTGATGCATCGTGCGAACCGCTACACTGGTACCCCTCGAATTGCTGACGTCGGTGTCAGACTTGCGACTTCGTAGCGATTTACTGAGTGCGCAAAGTCGGATACCGGCCAATTCATTGCATATTTTGAGGGAAGTCTGAGCAGCCATCAGCACTAGTTCACCATTTGAATCAGTTTGTTAAGGTCTTGATCTTCCAATGAAAGTGGTGGACATGTTTGGTGCAGGAATCCCAGTATTGGCGAAGGAGGAATCCAATTGTATTTGGCGATTGGTGCAAGGAAGGTCGAATGGACAATTGTTCGAAACGGCGACAGACCTCTTCCAACAGCTCTACACTCTTGCCACCGGGTTTCCTACACACTGCAAGGTATACTCAAGCACTCGTCAATGAGTGCCAATTGTTGATTAAAGTGTGTAATTAAATGCAGATTTATTAAGAACTGCCTTGATAATAAGTCTGATGTTGATTCAGAAACTCGCACGACCTGAAGCAGGTTCGTTCTCGACGATAGTCTGCCATCGTGGGAAGAGAATTGGGCTACAGTAGCTAAGCCAATTCTGGCACCAAATCTTGACCCACATTTCGAAAGGGTAATGGCAAGGTAAGTTAGGCTCGTAGCACTGTATACATCAAATTGGCAACTAAGCCAACTTCTTTCAGGGAGCCAGCGGAATAGCGTGAAGGACAGGGTTGAAGCTGTGAGACTCTTTGGAACTCTACGAGACGAGTGTTATTTGTATTGCATAGCTTTAAATTTTATTAATTTTACTATAATTTGTGTATCGTGTTTGGACATTCCTTAGCGATTCGTGTGATGTTTATTGAATTTGTGATGCTGGGCCAACAGTTGCCAACTTCTAATTCATACTTTCTCTTATAACTTGACTTTGCGTGTGAGAATGGTGATTGGCAAAGCTTCACTTTTGGTTTTCTTCTCGGTCCGAGCTTACCGTGCATGGAGAGTGACGAAAACCACCGGACGCGACACGATGTTCGATGCCGTCAGCCCTTCTTGCATTAGGCCGATGTCAGACTTTGCGAATCGCGCGATTCGCTAGCGTCCGCGGTCGCGTTGCGGTACCAGCCAATTGAGTGATTCACTGGCCGCGACGCGACCGCAGACGCTAGCGAATCGCGCGATTCGCAAAGTCTGACATCGGCCTAAGGACGAATTAAAGGTCGATTGTTCTCTACAGAGCATTCGCCCTGTTATTTCCTTCTGTTCAGCATGACAAAATACTATTGCCTCGTCTTCAAATAGAAGGGTGAAGCAATGGAGTGCTCAGCAACCGCGGTATCAAAGTGCATATCTGGCGTAATCACGCCGATACCTGAAACTATACGAACGGCTGGACAACTCGCTGAGGGAGCGGATCTCCCAGAAACAGTTCAGGTTCGTACTTGGAAGGCCCACCGCGGATGCCAGCTTCATTAGGTAAGTGATGGAGAAGGTACTTGAAGGAGAAGCTGTCTCCTGTTACCTAGCTCCTCGATTTAGGGGAGGCATCCGACGTCCTACCCCAACCAGATACCTTACAAGGGAGGTCTTTCAGGGCAAGGTGCGCTTTTTGGAAACGGTTTAGTACATGTTGTAGGGACGCATGTATGGACCACAAAACCATGTTTCGTTTTCGCTGAACGGTTTTAGTAGTACCAAAAAAGTGGTGAATAATACTCTTGATGGTTCAATCCCCCGCGGCGACTAAATTTTGCAATCAAGGTTGGCGGCCACTTGTTGGCTTCAAAATGGTCCTGACGATGAATTTGACATCTGATTTTGATATTTAGCGCGATTTGGCACCAAACCGTAGGCGCCAACCCAAATGCAAAATTTAGTCGCCACGGGGGATCGAACCCTTAACAGTACCTTATGCTTCTTTTTTGGTACTGCTATAACCGTTCAGCGAAAATGAAACATGGTTTTGCGTTCCCTACATGCGTCCCTACAATATGCACAAAACCGTTTTGAAAAAGCGCACCTTGCCCTGAAAGACCTCCCTTGTTAGGGTAACGCTCATATTACATTGAGCATTTAACTACTAGTGAGCTGCGCAACTGTCAAAGCATGATAGCGATCGGATTTGCGGTTGTTTATTGTCTCGAGAAGGAACAGGAAAGGTTATGAGGACTGTTCTTGAGAAAGACAAAAAGAATAGGATCATTTGAAATTGACACCCGCTTTTTATGAGGGTCGTCGTGGTAACGAACAGAGACGCAGTAGTGCGAGCGTTAGTAGAGCATTAATGGCGAGAGAACACGTCGTTAAGAAGAGAGCGCAAGATGCCATGTCTACGTTGCGGGCCAGTGAAATGACAAGTTCCCGCCGAGAGGACAGTGCAAAGTTCTTTTATTTCTCAGTGTTTCGTATGGGACAGGCGAGAATTACTTCGACCCAACCTGAATTCCTGATATTTCACAAGAATGCGTGGAGTTGTGAAACAAAACTTTCGCCCAGGCGGGATTAGAACCCGCACCTCTCGCTTTTGATTGATTCCTGATAGTTTTCCAGAAGTGGGCAATAAAAGAGGTATTGAAGGGAAGATTGCTTGATATAGAGATCGTTTGTATCGTACCTCGGCACTTCTCAAAGACTGCTTTGGAAGCAGCTGAAGCGCTTTTTTATGGCATACATGTAGAAAAGTACTTTCATAGGACGCATAGTTGTCAAAAGAGCCGCTTTTCAGTCTTTTGAGAGCCCTTCAGGGCAACTGTGAACTTTCCGTGTTTGTGAACAAAGCGGAATGTGCAAACTTTGGTTAGTTCCTTCAGACTAAGGCGGTTTTACTAGCGAGTGACCCTACCTTACCACGTGAATGCTGTAGGAGTCTAATCCCGGATCGAATCTCGCCGAACACATAGGACGCTCTATTCCTTCGGGTTCTTGTTAATTGCTAGAGAGGAGCTGTCTGAGATGATTGGAATTACGATTGTCGGCTAGGAGCCTCACCGTCAAATAGAAAGCACGTCGACGTCTCTTGACCTGCTATCAATTCTGAATGCAGTTAGGATACATGGCCCGCATCCAAAATTGATAGCGTCAACCTTAAATGCCTCCTGCTTGCCTATTTTATAATAGTAAAAACTAGTTTTCCACTTTGGTGTGCTCCGGCAAAAGAACTAGCTGGCGAGGGTGGGAGTTTATAGCAATGGGAGTCTCAATGGGCGGAGTTTATGCAGTGGGCGGGGTAGTTGTATGGGGTGAGGGAGGTCAGTCAGGGACGAGATGTAGCTGTGAATGGAATTCAGGTGGGGAGTACAAGGAGCAATAAAAAAAGACATTTTGTCTAGACATTCAGATGGATTTAATTACACTTTGCTCGATTTAGACCGAATGCCTCCAACTTGAAGAACTTGAAGAGCATATTTCATTTTATAAGGGAATGTTTATAGTGGCCATCTACGTAAAGGCATCAGAAAATTTGCTCAGCAAACCTGGTGCACTGGTCGAGCTCAAGGGGGTCTCGAAGGATCGTATACCGTAACGGGACATTTAGTGAAAGCGAAGTTGCGAGGCGCGGCTTGGCATGATGGGCGCGAGATGCTCTCTAGAAAACTATCCAACATTGAATCGATTCACGAAATTGTAAGAGCTTCAGGCTGAAGCAGTTACAGTAGGCCTCCTTGAGCTTGACGACGATGACAGATGACGTCATATTCTGAAGACGGTGAGGGCAGTGAAGGAGGGCCTGCGTCTACTTATAGAGGGACATTTGGGGAAAATTTTGCTGAGGAACTTCCGTCAACGACGGGCAATCCCTGCGAAAAAAAAATGGCAACAGAAAGTGCGATATGGGCAAAATGTCCTTTTTTGCTTCCCCTGTATATGTAATGAAGGAAAGTTTAACAAATAATAAAAAATATTTGTGATTGAGGGGTTGTTTGGGGTGTAGAGTTTATGTGGCGATTTCGGCCACATCACGTGCAACTGCCACTACGATTCTGAACGGAAAGCACGCATGGTTATCCAAAAACTTGACTGATTGAGGCTGAAAACTTTAAGAACCTTATTCTTTGTATGGGCGGAAGTGGTGTAGTGACAAGTGGCACGCTCACCACGCGAGCGGTCCGGGATCAAATCCTGGGTCGTGAGTCGCCCGGGCCAACCAAGCGGGTCCATCAACCGGGTCTCTAACCATAAGTACGTTAAATGGGTTCACTCTTTTCAGGCGATTGGTTCCAACTCTGTCGACTTGAGCAGGCGTATGATCCCTCCATTGTGCCAGTTGAGAGCAAAACTCAGATATCTGTCCTATCAGGTCAAAATATAGCCCTTCCTGGCGGTACTTCTCCATCTTTCCTCGAGTGGATCTTGATGTTGTTCTTTCCCTGAAAACTACCCACTTTTCAGAGTTTTCCTAAATGTGAAAGATAAAGGGCAGACAATGCAGCGCTGATTAATTCCCTTTGGGATGCTGCTTATTCCACTTCCACAGCTCCTTCAGAAATTTAAGTATTTATCTAACCCATTCAGAAGAAGAGTATCTCTCCTGCTTGGCATGAGCCGTAACCGCAGAGAAATGAAGGGCCCAATTGGTTCGGGCTGGTTCGGATCTGGGAGTTGCTATGCTTCGCCTCAGCCACTGAGCCACATCTGTCTCCTGGGATCAAAAAAGGTTAAAATCTTAGACCCTAAAACATGTTTCGCAGATTTTGATGATCCCTCCTTTCTTTGGAACAACTTCAACTACAGTCCGTCCAAACACAATTATAGTAACGACCAACAGCCATCGATATTCTATAATGGGCAGGGGTTACAGGTGCAGACAGTGCTACTGAATCATTCGCTCCTCCCAGAGTGCTTGAATGCTGACAAGTTCGGCTAAATGACAAATGGGATTGATTATCTGGGCTGGAATTCATGGGTGACCCCTGCGCATTTTGAATACCTCTTCAATTCGGAGTGATGGGCGATTAACTGGGAGTCACTTCCTATCCCACTGGAGAAGTTTCCGACGAAGAATGTGGTGGTTAGATCGCATTTATCTTTGGTCTTTGACTTCCAAGCTCTGACGAAGGCGATAAGGCCGAAACATAAGCCAATGAAGTGATATACTGTCTTGGCTGCAGCAGAAGTATTCGAACCAGTACACCAAGATATATGGAAAGTCCAACACGGAAGTAGAATGGGAGAAGAATCTGTCCAAGCGCTTCAGAATCCGGGCAATGTCCCTGGTCACATTTCCTCTACCCGTGAAGCTTCCAGGCTCCCTCTCGAGTCCTGATTTGGTGCATCCCAGATCAGAGCGTGATTTCCCAATGATTTATGGAAGAGGTGGCGATTGGCACAGATTCACCTTCGGCATTTGTCAGCAGAATCAAAAAGTGCCCAAATGGTTGAGCAGAAGCTCTTCAGATCGGATTCGGTGTGCGTTTTCGGGACCACGCGTGGGAGCTGTTGGCTCAGCGGCTGCTCGGTGACCTCGTCGACCCCGACAGCGCTGACCAGGCAGGTGGTGCTGGCTGACGATGGTGGCCCTCGTCGGATGTGCTGTGTGGGATGAAAAATAACTCAAAAACAACACTATTAGTAAGTGATGATGAAAAATGCAGTGGTAAGAAACCCGGCCAATTGTAGCCAGAACGGGGCAAAAATCACATGAGCAACTTCAACACACAATCCTAGAACGAAGATCAAATGAATCCATAGAAAAAGAGGAGCTGGCGAAAAAAAAAGATCATAAAAACAAGGAGGGTCTAAGAGAGCTCAAAAACAAGAGAGAACCTTAGGGGTAGCTTGGCATCGATCCAAGAAGAACGACGCCTACTTGGAGAGCACGATTGCTTATGGCGAAATGTGATGGTGTTTGGTGGGGAAGGCCAGGCCACCAGCACACCACAACGCATGACCCGTGCCGACGACAGCGCCGGCCTTTTTTAAACGAAAAACGAGCGCAGCCGCCGCTGACGACGGGCCGACGGGACGATAACCGATGTGAGAAGGGCAAATGACGAGCGCCGACGGCGGCAAGCAGACAATGATTTGAAAACGCAGGCGCAGAAGGGGACGGGCAGCGAGCTGGGGAAGGTAGGGGTAGCTCTGGTGGAGGCGATAGTTTGTAACCGCTCCCCTTCGCTCAAGTGGAGCGCGTCGAGATGACTCTGCACAGTCTGTATAACAATGGGAACGGGCGCAGGCCCCTTCACATAACCTACCACATCACCCGTGTAATCTTATGGTAGTTGATGGAGTAAACCTGCAGCGGTAGTTTCTTTATTGTCCTCCAGGTATCGCCGGGGTTTACTAGGCCTGCCTTTCCTGGGACAAGCTGGGACCCTGTGGGATTTCAGGGTTAGAAAGGGAGTCAAAATTACTGTAGATCGTTCAGGAAGCGGATCGATAACGGTACAGATGTGCCTGTGCGCCTGGAGCGGCGGCGACGGCGGTCGCAGGATGGTCGAGACGGCCAGCCGGCCGGCGTGTTGGAGGCGATGGCTGCTGCGGCGTCGGCGGCGATACGAACGAACACACAGGGCAGCCCGCGCGCTCACATACCACAACTACACCATGCCACGCCCCCACAG